ATAAAGGAATAGCCTGCAGAAAAATCAAATATACACAAGTTTCCATATTACAGCAACTGTATGAAGGTTTGTATGCATGTACCTACATTAGCCTCATATACACTTACCACTCAACTGGAAAGTGAAACTTCAGTCTCAGCTAATAAACTACTTTTGGGTTAAGGGGAAGTAGTTGTTTTTTGTTCACAGTTTGTTTAATCAGGATGGTAAAAGATGGAGTGCAATTAGCAAAAATATATATATATATATATATATATATACACGCAATATGTGTTGAAATTTTAGTATTTTGTGCATGCAATTACTGGCACACTTCTACAATAAACAAAGACATGCTGCACATATACGTGTCTGTGTGTGTCTGTGTGTGTGTCTGTGTGTATACACATGTGTGTATAGCTCTTTCAAACTTCCTCTGCTGAGAGGCTCGAAAGGCTCTGAGGCTTTAATCAAATTTAAACAAAAACAAACTCTGCTGCTCTCTAACCTAAACAGCCTTTCAGGCCTCACATTGCCAGCCAACAACTGACCTTCTTACACACACACACACACACACACACACACACACACACACAGACAGACTCCAGAATCACCAGATATCCCCCTTCTTTTGTCAGAACCTTGAGAATGCTTCAGATCCACACAAACACACACACACAGTGCATTAAGTCAGTACAGTCCAGGCAATCTCAGTACACATTCCACAACCACCCCATCATGAACTGAAGTAATGAGAGACTGAACTGAAATAATCCCTAATGGATCCACACACACACACACACACACACACACACACACACACCTTCAACCCCATGGGATTCTTAGCTCATGTTGCCAAGGATCAAATATACAATGCAGAAACAGTCAGAATATAGTTACACATTCAGACACAGTGTGCTCCCTCCAAGCCTAAACATCTGTCATGAGAAAAAAAGACAAAATAATATATATATTATTACTGAAAGCATGCATATAAACATGCTAGATCAGTTTATATGTTTACACCCAATCAAAGGAGTGGATCAAGATCAACTTTCTAGATCGGTTCTTCTTAAATACTGACCTGCTGTATCAGATTGAAAACAGACAGCACTCTAAACAACCCTAATGAACGTCTTAGCATTATTGGATGAAGAAAGATTCAAACTTCAGTCAATTTCATAGTAGTTCTAAGGGAGGTGTTTATTTAACATTGATGGAAGGAGTCTCCAGTGTCAGCACTTTGTAACAGTCAGAGGTAAAACTGCAACTTTAGGTTTTCCACCACGAGAAACTCAAAATCGAAGAGTTTAAACCTTAACACTTTTTTTCTGTAACATGACAAACTCTATTTTCTGTCTTATTAGCTTCAAATAAAAAAATCAAAAGACGAAAGGCTGGTGAGAGAATAATGGGTTTGTGGACATTCCAGAACACAAAATGTAACTATAAAGGGACAAAAAATACATTATATCATTCTTTAAGAAATAAAAATTGTAATCATTGGCAATTTGCTGTAGTATACTAAGGAAAGAAATACAGGACATGCTGTTATTGGAAAATAATCAACTCTGGGGTGATAAAATATCATGCCACCCTGTTGTTGATTATTTATCCATAACATGTCCTGTCGTGTTTTTAATGGTGGTTTTACTACCGAGTCTTCAGTATGCTAGACTACTCTCATGCCTGAATGCTTATATTTGCCATGCACATCCACTATATCATCATCTTTGAATGTGGAAAATTTCAGCTACCACTACTCTGAATCAGCACTAGTTTTTTTTTTTTAATAGCTTCTTATACCCAGTTAGTTGACCATAAACATGTACTGTTGTGATCATTGATTTCTCTGCTAAAAGTCACATTTTGCAGCATACAAAATGATTTTTTAAGATCCAGACAAATGTGTAAAGTGAATTAATGAGATATACAAAAATTATTTTCATTTCTCGAAGAAAATATGATGAAATCATCTGTCAACTACACAAACAGTTACAAGAAGGAACATGCTGTGTTATGTTTCTTTGAAACAGAAAGGAATCATATAATAGTGGCCTATTTAAGAAAAAAATGAGGGAAAAAATGAAAGGAAAAAAAACCCCCAAAAACAAATAGTTAAGTTTCAGTTTTGGTGTAATACTACAGTCTTCTTTACAGCTTAGCATGAGGACACCTGTACATAAGTGTACACCTTGTTTTTACACACTGAATATGGATAATACAAACTATGTCTATGTAGGTCTATGTAAGTCTGTGTAACACCACTATGGCTACATGTGGGTTTCTGAAGGGTAACTACACCATTTAGCTCTTTTCCCAGCGTCTGAAAACACCATGTTATGTAAAACAAAGGTCTCTAATGCTCCACTTTGTTATAAAGCCTAAAATTAGCCACAGGAACTAATCTAATCCACTTCTAACCTGTTTTAAACCAAAGTTACCACACAACATGGTCAGGTTTTTGGTTTTTAGCTCTATAACTAGATTAGCTTCTTGTTGTGATATAAACTGTAAACATGGGCTGTTAGTTACGGACCGCTCGCGCCTCAGGTGCTGCCACTTTGCGGGACAGGTAAACGCACGCGCCTTGCACTGTAGCTGCAACTGCAAGCTCGCGCTCTCACTCACCTCCTCCAGGCCCGTCACTGTGCTCCGACAGTCGCTCATTTTAGCCTGAAAACACGACGTGGACGGCGACGTTATGTCCTCATTCGCCAGCGACACGAAGTCTGAGATGCTCACTTTCTCCGGCATGGCTGCTCCAAAGTCCACGAGTCCAAACTTTCTTCAGCGAACCTTGTTTTTTTTTTTTGTTTTGTTTTTTTTTTAAATCAAATCAAACACGCAAGGCGCGCGTCCGTCCGAAACCTGTTTAAATCCTCATGAAAACATTTCCACAGTGGACGAAGAAGAAGAGACAGAAGCATATCCGCGAGTAAAAGTGCGCAGAGAGGCAGAGGCGCGCGCTCCTCACGTCTCACTCTCTCCGCTGCTGTGTGTTGTCTTTTTTGTTTTTTCACTCTGTCCTGCAGCAGCGCGTGCTCGTGAGCTAATCGTTGTAGCGTCACGTGGGAATGTTTGGGTTGTCCATGCTAAATAGAGCGCGCGGAAAAATACAGAGGCCACAAAAGCCTATTGTCTGCGATATACTGTGTATACATACCTTCCTACTGAGGATATATTGCGCATTAACCAGTTTCCTCACCAAAATAGTTTGTTAAAGTGTCACTGAAAGCAAAATGGGTGTTTCTGAGCTTTATGTACCTGCCCCTTAGTGTTACGGACACCAGTACCATAGTATATCTAAAAAAAAAAAAAAAAAAAACACTTGTCACTTCCAAGGAACCGTTTAAAATTTTCCAATGAGTCATCCTGTACTCATACTGTGTTTGTCCAATCAAATGCTCTCTAGAACCTATATGTCCCGCCCCTGGGGGCGTGTCTTGTGCTACAGTAGCAGCTGGTTAGCAGGATCATCAGTGACTATGTTTACATGCACATCAATATTCTGATATTAATCAGAATTTGGCAATATTCTAATTAATATTGAGTCATGCATGTCAACGCCACGATCTGATTACCCGAGTCAGATTAAGACAATATTCTCATTCCCCAAATTCTGATTTCCACCCCTGTGCCTGTTTTAATCGGAAATTTGTTGCATGTAAACACATTATTCGGAAAATCCACTGAAAGTAGATATATGCATGTGCTCAGTCCGCAAGGAATTGTGGGTGCTAACAGATGCTTAGCTTAACAGATGCTTACCCGACCCTCTCCATTTCGAAGTGATGTTCTCGGGCATTTTTGATGGTGAGAAGTATTAGAGTCCTAATTAAATTAGTGTGAAAAAGTAGTAATAAAACTAATAACTGAGTATACTCTATAACCAAAGGCAGCATCTTGAATCTCCTGGGATACGTAGATCAACAACCATGTATACAGGATTATTCCGATGCCTGTATGCATATAAACATCATATTTGGAATATGGCTGCAGCCCGAATGTAGACTTTAAACAGAATTTGATGTGCATGTAAACGTAGTCAGTGTGTTTCTAGCTGTCCGTCTTCCCACAAATAATTCATTAAAAAAATGGTTGGAGTTTATTTATTTGGAAGGGAGTGGAATTTGGACAAGTTTCAGAGTTTTATCAACTTCAGTAACGGAATGTCTTGCTGCTTCAGACTGATCGAGAGTGCTATCCCGTCTTTATCCAGTACACCACCACACAAACATGTACAGAATAACTCCAAAAACACGTCATCTCATTGTGTAGGATATCATCCTTGTTAAAGTGGACAGGCGTGGGTGAAGGCAGTGGTCAGAAATCCTCCACAGTTGAAAACCTCTTCATTGTTCTTAATATTTAGCTAGTAGATGTAGTGGGGATATGGTGTAGTGGGGATATGGTGTATGGTGTAACACTACCGGCTGTTGTGTAAATCAATCAAGCACTTCAGCATGATGTTTCTCTAACTTTCTGTATCAAAAAGAAATACTGCAACATACAGAATCGAATCACTTCAGGTCTCTTGAAGACATCTGACTTTGTTAGTTGTTGTTTGTAGTGGCCATGTTGCCTCCAATGCAGTCCCCAAGCTTCAGGAGCACCATCGATTTCACAGTTTTTGGTGGAGAATGTTGGTGAAACATATTAGTTTGTTACTATTTTATACTGTATTATGGAGTATAATGGTTTGTTAGGTGGGTGATTCCACAATTGGGGTGACATTCAGCCCTTATAACTTTTCAACAACTAGCATAGAATATAAATAATATATACTGATGTTGATATATATAATATGCTGTTGCTGTTGTTGTTCCTCTGTTGGCTGCTCCCGTTAGGGGTCGCCACAGCAGATCACTGGTATCATCATACCAGTATCAAATCATATTTGATTTGGCACAGTTTTATGCTGTATGCCCTTCCTGACTCAACCCTCTCCGGTTTTATCCGGCTTGGAACCAGCACTGGGAGTGCACTTTCCTGTGTGCAACCCCAGTGCATGGGGTCGGTTCCCTGGCTGGGAATTGAACCCAGGCCACGGCGGTGAGAGAGCGCCATGGCATACCCACTAGTCCTCCAGGGACCTATAGTGTTATTTTCAATCTATATTGTAATCTACTGGGTTGTACATTCCAAGCGACCTCATCAGTGATTATCACAATATCATTTGGACTTCATTTTCTTCTTACTTTACTTCTGACCTTAATTTTTCTTTTGCTATGAATGTCAGGAAATATGGATGAACTTTCTATTGAACACTTCACTTGAGGAATATTCCGGATATTTCATAGGAGTGGATATATTCCGGTAACGGGGTTAAGTGAATGTTGTAAGCACAGCTAATATGTATATTTTTCATAGCCTATAATGGATTAGTCATTAGTCAGTTTTCAATAGGAGATGTTAAGTAGAGTCACACATTAGTGCAAAAACTACAAGATTTTTAATACATTTTAATGATTAAAGCTTAGTTGTAGTGGGTTGGGATGGGCAAAAATGCTGTTTTCTGACAAAGGATGTTAACCCATTAGGTTCGAATATTAGCTTAGAATATTTAACTTGGAAAAAAGTCATTTCTGTGAAAGCATCTGAAAGCATGCCGTCTTCAACCAGTCAAGCTTGATCTGTAGCATTTTTTCCCTAAGAGCTATGCATTACTAAACACTCCACGCCATCAGATTTCAATATGAAAGACTTTGTTGTAATGACATAATTGTAGTCTACACCACCCATACCACTTTGAGTAATAGCATGTAATATACAATATATACTTGCACAGTATTAGTCTATAAGTATAACTTTCCAAAAACAGTGAAAGTATATAGAGGGAAACCTGTCAGAGATTTGGCACTTAAATAGTGGCACCCTTGAAATAGCAATATTGTTAATAAAATAATAATTTGTACATTAAATGTTGTGAAAAATTCAAGACTTTTCCATACATCCACTGCTTTAAAATGCTTTAACATATTCCCCTGCCCCCCTTTCACTCTTCTGTAGAACAATGAACTAATGAGCAAATCAGTGTTTTTCTACAAGATTGAGCTCCAGATGAATTTATTCAGGTAAAGAGAGATTTTCATGGATTCTAAACAATATGTCTAACTCCTTTTTCTGTGAACCAAGCCCCTCTAGTTTCCTTTCTGCTGGATAATTACACTCTAGTGTGCTTTAAAAGAAGGTATTTGCAACCATTCAAATACAACTGAACATGTCTGATAGCCTGAATGAGTGGATTACTGATTAAAATGTCATGTATAAATAACCAAGGGAAGTTGCGAGCATGTTTCTACTCTTTAATGAGGGCCCTTTGTACTTTTTCCCATTTTTGTAAAGAGGACTGATCATTCCACGCCCTGTTTGCCTTACATAAAACACTGACAATAAAGCAGACAGGATGTGTTCGGATTAGATTGCCTGCTGTTTTAATGTTTTTGTCTCTCATGGGTGTACCACTGATTCAGTGTATCTTGTGAAATCCGCATAAAAGTGTATATCATTTCTTTAAAATGGAACTGGGTGGATTATAATAATCCTTAGCAGCTGTGTCATTCACTATAGGAATAACACATCATCTAAGAATAATAATAATGTGTTGTGCTTTAACAAAGAAAAAAACTTCTAATCATTGATATGATGAAGTTGTTTTGTTAGGAGATGTTTATTTAACATGGAATGAGTTATCAGTGTCGGCGCTTTGTTACCGTACGTAAGATTTCCGCCACAGGGAACGTTTTCAGGACAGAGGGCTTTCCGGGTTCCTTTTATGGTAACATATCATTTTATAGCTGCTAGTAGCTGTTAATAGCTGCCGCAATGTAACTTTTAACAGAAACTAACTTCACAGACGTTCCACAACATTAAATGTAACAGTAAACGGATAAAAAGTACACGTCGTTCTTTAATAAATACACAGTTGTAACTGTCGGCAAATTGCTGTGGTATAAATGGAATAAAACACTTCAGGATGTGCTGTGTTATAACAGCACAAGCCAAAGTGTTAGCGCTGTAGAGCTGGGAGTGTTTCCTTTTTGTAACAAGGTCGAGTGATGTTAAGGGTCTTTCTAAAGTGCTCAGTAGTGTCTCTCGTATTTGCAAACCTCCAGTCACCAACACAGGAGCTCCACTTTTGAACCGCCCCTTTCCTTATATTTTGGTGACTGAGACAAATATGACTGCTGTAGTTTTTACATGCCATAAACTACTAACACAGCTACCACCGCTATAAAGCCCTGCATCAGCAACCTCACTAGCAGAAGTTCTGCCACATTATAATCCAATGCATGGTTTTCACAGATCCAAACCACCAAAAACATATAAATCTCAAAAACACGGCTTTAAAATGGTAGGTTTGAGAATTAGAGACTATTCCTTTAAATCAACTTGGACCCCCCCCCCAAAAAAAACACCATATGGGACGTATCCGAGCTCTGACTCTGTCCGAAAGAGTTCTGCAAGCAATTATGAGTGTTTTCTCTCTCTTTCTCTGTCTAACTCTCTCTCTTCTTGTATGCTGTGGTTACATGACCACGCTGGGTTATAAAACATGGACCCATGGTGTGTGTGTGTGTGTGTGTGTGTGTGTGTGTGTGTGTGTGTGTGTGTATACACTTCTGATCTGGTTTATTTGTAGTTGTTGCGTATTTTATTTTACTATATCTTTCATGATTTGGAGCAACTGTCATAGATTTACTGTTTAGGTTAGCTAATAAATGATTGTAGAATGTTTCGTTTTGTGTTTCATCGTAAACACTTTGGACAGAAAATGGAAAAGAGCTTCTAAAATACAGATTATTATTAGCCATGGTTGGTGTGATGGATAGTCACCCAGAAGCCTTTGCAGCTTTTTTGATCTGTTTGTGTAAATGACTGAGCGTTGCTGTTGAGGAAGGTGCTACAGAGAGAATGTGAATGGTGAAGGGAAATGTGGATTTAGGCTACTATACAATAATGAATAATACTGAGGCTATTACACAAAGAGAGTAAAAGGGAACAGATGTGTGTGTGTGTGTGTGTGTGTGAGTGTGTGGTTTTACTGGAAAGTGTCACAAAGAGTGAAAGACAATGGGTGAAAAGAAGAGAAAGTGTGTGTGTGTGTGTGTGTGTATGTGTGTGAGAGAGAGAGCTTGAAACCATTACAGAGAGAGTGTGTGAAAGAAGAAAGAGTGTGTAGGGGGATTTGTGTGAATACACTGTTTGAATAGCAGTGGAAGTGAGCCGCCCTATTCCCTCTCTGTCTTTTCTCCAACTTTCACACTCCAAACTCTCCCCAAACCCCACCTCCCATTGTGACATAGCTCACAAACCGACCAACCAGGCATGGACAGAGGCGGGTTTTGGAGCAGAGTATGTCCAATGAGCTACGTCAATGGTGAAGCCTCTAAAAATCTGTTCCCGTAAAGGTGAGTGAGGGGACATCACGCTTCCCAGCACACAGATGACTCTCATCTTCACTGTCCAAAATCTGTTGACTCAAGCGCATTAGGAACGCTATCAGTCATCACTTAAAGTGACAAGAGGTCCAGATTTACAGTAAACATTGCAGTAAAGTAAGATGAGATAAGTGAAGAATGACAGCCAGATTTTAAATGAAATCAAAAACAGGATTTTAAAATGGCTAACACCTCTAGGACAGATGATGGCTGTAGAGATCAGGGTCTTGGCTGGGAAACCTGGCACATACACAGAGGCCCTGTGCATCAAAGAGCTTTTGTATATGAGAGAATAAAAGATCAAGTCCAGCCTTTTTCTGGGCAGCTCACACTCTCCTCCAGTTGAGTGTCATGATAATAACACTATCCAATAACATACATTAAATAAACTTTTTTTTAACAATATTATGTGTTGGGGGAGCGGCAGGGGAGGGGGGGGGGGGGTTGTTAGAGCGACGGACTTAACTAGCTCAAGTGTCTAATATGATTTATCACTTAGCAAAAGAAATCACAATGAACCAGAAAATTCGGAAGGCAAAAAAGGATAAAAAAAGATCCTGTAATAAATCAGCTTTTTTTTTTTTTTTTCAAAAGTAAATATATAAAATTAATAAAACCAAGAGGATATTGAGAAGTGTAAATATAGCAATGACTGATATTGTTAGCAGTCTGGGAAGTGCAGCATTAAAAACCAGCCTGGATTAGTGGATACAATTCTCTCATTACTATCAGACTTTTTGTTTTGTTTTGTTTTTTACTTTTAATATGTGGGGAAATACCTCAGTAACTGATATAGCTGGTGCTGTAGTGGGGCAAGGCTTGTAGCATGAATGCCAGGGTCACATGAAGGTCTTAGTCCAGCCTTGTGCAGCAGTCACTTTTTTATTTCAAACAGAGACTTTTCTGAGTATTTCTATATATGAAATGTACATGGGGGTATGCGGCTTAGTGGTTAGCACATTTGCCTGGAGGCTTTTCTGGGGGTTCGAATCCCGCCTCCTCCCTGCATGCGCAGAGATGGCTCCTGGTACTCCGGTTTCCTCTCTCAGTCCAAAGACACGCATTGTAGGCTGATTGGCATTTCCAAATTGTCTGTAGTGTGTGAATGGGTGTGTGAGTGTGTGCAATTGTCCCCTGCAATGGGTTGGCACCCTATCCAGGGTGTCCCCCGCCAACCCTGTGTAGGATAAGTGGTACAGAGAATGGATGGATGGATGGAAAATGTACCTAGATCATATGTACCTTCATTTCCTTCAGTTTGTCGCTCTTGAGGAACCCTTGAAGATTACATACTGAATCATAAACTATTGTTTCCACATGGAACTTTTTTCAAGAAACTAAGAACCCTTGACTGATCAAGGAATCTTTGATGAAGTGGCAGAGTTCAGTTGGTGCCGTCACAAAATCTAGGACGAATCCAATATGCACATCAGTAGAGGATAATGTGGCAAATGGAGACTCTTCACTAGCTAACATATATACGGCAGTATATTGTTTTGTTTAAAGGAACTTGTCAGGTTTTCTTGCATAAGTTTATAAACCATCCAACAACTTTGCTGCGAAGTTTTTTTAACTTAAAACGTAAAAACATTAACATGGACATTTCCGTAACGTTAGCTCTTACTTAGACTTTGTGTAAGCAAACAGTAAT